AGAGACCCAGTTCACCTGCCCCTTCTGCAACCACGAGAAGTCTTGTGACGTGAAAATGTGAGCGGGGCCCAGGATCCTGCCTCACGGGGCCGGCCCTCTCCTTCCTCGGTTGGGAGGTGGCTTCCCCCCACCCCCACTGTCTTCCATTCTGTCCCCAGCCCTCCTGGTTAGGGGGATTGTCACCCACAGACACAGGCCCTTTCGTTCACTAAGTCCCCGCATCTCCTTCTGTTCCAGGGACCGGGCCCGCAACACCGGAGTCATCTCTTGTACCGTGTGCCTGGAAGAATTCCAGACGCCCATCACTTGTATCCTTGGGAACCTGGGCTTTTCCCAGGGGGCGGGGGCGGGGCGTCAGGGCTGCTCTGCCCAGAGTGGGCTGCTCAAGGGCACCCAGCCCTGCTGCGTGCCCTGGTGGTGTGGCCACCGAGAGGAACCAGTGCCACGTGCTGACTTACATGGGGTGACAGGCTTCAGGGCGGGGGTCTGGCTAACAGTAGCATGAACAACAGAAGTATGTATAAGAAAGGGGTCCAGTGCTACCAGTTGCCCTTGACCTCAGCGGCTCAGATCTGTCGGAACCAGTGGACGTGTACAGCGATTGGATAGATGCCTGCGAGGCAGCCAATCAGTAGCAACGCAGAGGACCCACTCCCTTGGCAGCCTCACCCGCTGGGTACCAATCTAGAGACATTCCAGGGTCCAGGGTGTGGGTCCAGGGCCTCTGCAGCCCTGTGTGTGTGTGTGTGGAGTGAGTGTGGGCATGGGTGTGAGTGGGTGTGGCTGCAGGTGTGACTGTGGGGGTGTCCTCGTGGGCATGGGGTAGAGTTGAAGGGTTGCTGGGCCCCAGGGGCCTGAACTGCCTCCCTTGGCTCCGAAAGCCTTTGACTTACTCCCTCCTCTGGCACCTGGCCCCTGGCTTTGGGGCCCTGGCTCCTCCAGGGACCTGTGTCCTGACATTGTAGGTGAGGGCAAGCCCAGCAGAGGCTGCCTGGGGACTCTCCAGCGTCTTACCCCACCTCACCAGCACTTGTCCATTTGAACTGGACCAACTGCGCATCCTCCTTCCCTGCCTTCCAAGGTGTGTGGCCTGGGATTCAAGCCACAGCCCCACAGGCCCCCTGGCAGGGCGGCCTGTTTTCACGTTTGGCCACTTTTGTAGAGGAGGGAGGGGCTGGGTTGGGGATAGCTGTCGGCCACCAGCCCTTAAATAAAGCAGCCAACGCGAAACTCCCAGCTCTCTGGTTTCCTGGGCTCTGGGTCAGACCCAGGGGCTCAACGAGGGAACGGGGGAGACTGAGGCATTCAGAGGTGGCCTGGCGGGCCATTGGAAGGGGTCAGCCCTTCAAACCGTCCAACGTTTTATCCACTCTACAAGCATTCAAGGTGAAACCAGGGCAGTGCTGGGCTCAGGGGACAGGGACAAACCCACGGACATCTGGCCAGGCGTTTACATGTTTATGTCTCATGTTTACAGTCACAGCAGAAACCGGGGCCAGTAGAGCCCAGGGTGAGGATTGGGGGCGGGGGGCGGTCAGAGAAGGCTTCCTGGGGGACAGCCTGAAGGAGCTAAGGCTCAGGGGCCACACTGGGCCAGAGGCCAATGTCAGGTTTGCCAGCCTTGCCCCCATGTCGCCACAGCCGCCCTGAGGAAGGAAGATGCTCGCAGATGAGGAGACAGGAGGTCACCGGCCAAAGGTCCCACAGCCAGAAGACTGCACGGCCGGGGCCTTGAACCCAGGAGGCCTGGCTTCACAGCCCAGCGTCTTACTTCCTCCTGAGTCCAGGGTCCAGGCTAAGGGAACAGCTCCTGGCTTCCTGGGGGATGGGGGGCAGTGGGGAGCACTGGAGAAGAGTAAGGGACCCTTGTCCTAGGGTCGTGAGGAGCCTCTTGGAAGGCTGGAGGTGGAGCCAGATGCACGTGTAGGGTGTAAGAAGAAATGCTTGGGCTTTGTCCCTGGCTCCTGGCAGGAAGCTTCTAAAACCCTTGGAATTTCCTGAGCAACTGGAGTACTTTTTGTCATCCATAAAGAGCCCCTTTTGATCACAGGTGAGATTATGCTAATGAAGTGACTTAGAGTTGGGCCCTAGATAGTCTCAGGAAGGGGCAGGATGCAGAGTAGGAACTCAGTCAGCCACACCCACCAACCTTCAGGAAGGGGAAGGGACCTACAGATGAAGCACGACATGAGGACAAGATTTGGTGAGCTTCTGCCCTTGGTGAACACAGGGAGGTGCTGGGACACTTGGAGAGGGCATGGAAGCTCCACCCTCCTTCCTCATACCTTGCCCTAGGCATTTCTTCCATCTGGCTCCTCCCGAGTTATATCCTTTTATAATAAACCAGTGATGTAATAAGTAAAATGTTTCTCCGAGTTCTGTGAGCCACTCTAGTAAATTAACCAAATCTGAGGAGGGGTTGGGGGGGGGCCCCGATCTCCAGCTGGTTGCTCAAAAGCACAGGTAAACAACCTGCACTTGTGATTGGCAGCTTAAGTCGGGGAGGGGCAGTCTTGGACAGAACCCTTATCCCGTGGGATCTGACGCTTTCTCCAGGTAGAGAGTGTCAGTACTGAGTTAATTGCTTGGTGGTATTGGAAAAAACACACCTTAACAAGGCTGATGGTGAGACCCCAGATGGTCTCGTGGTGTGGAGGGCCTGACACTTTGGCAGTGTGGGGCAGGTGCATCTCCTCCACTTGGCCTCGTGAGCCTGGGCAGCAAGTGACTTGTGCTTTGGCTTCCTCATTGGTACAGTGGGAAGGATGATGGAACCTTCCTTCCAGGGCCACGCTGAGGATGGAGGCACCTATCATGATTACTGGCACAGTTCGAACAGACTCAGACCCACCAGGGCAGCGGGGGCTATGAACGGCCGAGAAGATGCTGACCAGGCCAGAAGCCCTGGCCACCAGGCCCAGCCACTGAGTCTGGCATGTGTCCCCCAGGGCCCTCTCTACCCTGACATACCCCTCCTTGGTGCTCCCTCCTCCCCCTCCAAGGCCCCAGGTGGGGTCCCCTGGCCGAGGCAGGACCCAGCGGATACAGGCAGAGTGGTGGACAGGTGCCGGGGGGGTGGGGGATGCCCTCTGGGGTCCAGGGAAAGGGGGCTCCTGCCAACCAGGGCCCGCCCACCCCAGTCTTACAGACCAAGTGCTAATATGGTGCTGTTTTCCCAAGAAGGCAGGGCCCTAGGCCAGGCATGGATCCTCCTCAGCATAGCTTCCCCGAGCTGGCCCCATGGTAGCAGGACTTTGCGTAGCAGGACTTAGGGTAGCCAGGCCAAGAGCACCTGGAATCCAGTTTATGAGGCCCCAGGGGCCGTGTACGTCTGTGTGAGCAGGTCTTCTGATGTCTGTCTCTGCAGGTCCCCACATTCCAGCCTCGCCCCCTGCCCTGGGGAGGGAAGGGGAGAAGACCGCTGTGCCCCCAGCATGGCCGCATCCTCTCGTTGGAACCCTGGCATTTGATAGCTTCTGGGCAGGTTAGCTGGGGCCCACATCACCGGGAGAGCAGGGTCGCCTCTGAAATGTGGGGAGGTTGGGACCTTGTCCAGACTTCTGGGATCCTGGGCTGGCAGGCCAGGCACCTGGCCAGCTGTGCCCTGCAGTCAGCTACTTAACTCTCTGTGCCAGTTGGTAAAGGGCTATTGCCAAAGTGCCTCCACTGTGCCCATCCAAAGTGGGCACATCTTTCCAAAGCGCCCATCTTTCCCCACTGCCCTGTCCCCTCCCACCTTCCCACAGTCTACTTCAGGGCTAAAGGGTTCTCCCTGCCCACAGGGGCCCCCAGGACCTGGCTGGTTGTCCATTCTCATGGTCAGTACCAAATGTCATCCCCTGTCTGGAGGCGTCATTTCATTTAAGCTCCCTGTGACCCCACAAGGTTCCATGTCATCATTTTCCTAATGCGAAAACAGGCCTAGGGAAGGGAAGTGACTTGCCCAAGGTCACCTAGCTGGCAAGCTGCAGAACTGTGATTTACATCCCATCTAGCCCGTTCCGGCGCTTGGCCTCAACGCAACCCACAGGCCCCCAGGGAAGGTACATGGGTGCTGAGCCTGTGTGTGTGTGTGTGTGTGTGTGTGTGTGTGTGTGTGTGTGTGTGTGTGCCAGGGAAGGTACATGGGTGCTGAGCCTGTGTGTGTGTGTGTGTGTGTGTGTGTGTGTGGTGTACCTGTGTGAGGGTTTATGTTTTTATGTGCCTGGACGTAGGAGTGTGTACTGCATGTGTATCTGTGTGTGAAAGAGTATGTGCACTAAGGCTGTAGAGAGCGTGTGTACACCATACACACGAAGTGTGCGTGCATGTGGATTTTGTGTGTGGGTGGGGGGGAGCCCATCCTGGGTCCAGCGAGCTCTGTGAGCTCTGTGTGTGTACCTTAGGGTGCATATGAGTGTGTGTGCCTGTGCAGATGTGTGTGTGGGAGATGGGGTATATCCGAGCGAGGCCACTTATGCGTGTGCTAGAGCCACACAGCCTCTGTGACAGAGCAGCCCTGAGTCCTCAGATGACTTTACAGCCATTTATTGTGCTCCAGTGAAGTAGAAAAAGAAAGTGCTCGCGTTACAAACACCGCTGTCACATCCCTTAACGCCAGCTGCAAACCAAACCGCGTGTGTCCGCTGGGGGTCTGGGCATGCAGTTTGTTCCCACTGTGGGAATGGGGGAAGGGGGCGAGCCTGGGCTCTGGGGGCTTTGCTTGGGGGGGCTTCTTGTCCTGGGGGACCCACCTGTGGGGAGTGGGGGACAGCGGGGTAGCTTTGCTCAGTGCATCCTTTGGGTGCTGTCGGGAACACCCGGCTCTATGTTGGACCCAGGGAGGAGCCCCCTTTCCCCCCCACAGGCCCCCCCCCAGTCTGCTCCCCCCAAACGCTAACCCTGTAGGCAGGTGCCAGGGGGCTGGAGGAGCCATGCAGGGGGAGGGGGTCGGCGGGCCGGGCTGGGCCCTGCCAAGAGCAGCACCGGCCTCCCCGGGGGAAGGCGGGAGGCCCAGGGCCCTAGGCGGAGTTGTAGTAGTTGTGCGGGTGGTGGTCGTGGGCAGGCTCGCCCAGCTCCGGGTACTCGGGCGTCAGGCAGTACTTGGGGTCGTAGACCTGGCGGGGCAGCCCATACACTGTCATGCCCCGCTGCGAGGCCCCCTTGTTGCTGCCCATCTGCAGGCTGACATTGAGCGTGTCGCAGTGCTCCATGCCCAGCCCCGGCTCGAAGATCTGCCGCTTGGTCCCGGGAGCAGTCATGCCGGCCTGCGGAGGGCAGTGCAGTCAGGCCGAGGGGACGGCGAGGGGCACAGCCCGCCCCATGGCCCCCCACACACCTGGCTGGCTCCCTTGTTGGTGCCCATCTGCAGGCTGATGGTGGCCTGGTCCAGGGGCTGGTCTGTGCCCAGCTTGGGGTCGTAGAGGTGGCGCCGGGTGCCGTAGGCTGTCATGCCCTGCTGGCTGGCAAACTTGTTGGTGCCCATCTAGGGAGCCAGAAGGAGAATCACCCCGAGGCTTACAAATCTCACGGTGGGCCACAAGATGTAACTCATGTCAGCAGACACTTACATGGCCCTCTAATGAGGCACTGTTTCCACCCTCAGGCTACAGACTGGAAACTGAGGCCCAGAGAAGGTGGGTCACATGACTGATAGGTGGCCTGACTTCCAGGGTTCAAGTTCCAGCCCGGCCACTCATCACATGGGCAATCCTGGCAAGTAAGCTATCTTCTCCAGGCCTCAGTTTTCCCGTCTGTATAAAGGGTATGCTGGTAACAGTACCCACCCCCTAGAGCTGTCGGAGGAGTGAGTTAGGGTATGGAAAAATGCCAAGCGTATAGTCTAGTAAAGGCCAAATATCCTGCCACCCCCCCCCCCCGCCAAAGCCTGCAGGGACCAGGGCGCCCTCCCAGCCTCCTCCACTCCCTGACCCTCTGCTCAGCTCAGCAGTGAGACCCGGATGTAGAAGGGGCGGTACCTGCAGCCCGATGATGTTCCGCCCTTCTCTTAGCTTCTCTGGCTCAAATTTCCGTTCCTGCTTCTCTGCATATTTCACTCCCACGTTCACCTTGTTCCCTTTCGTCTTGGCCTGGGGAGGGTGAGGGAGGCAGGGACTGACAAGGAAGCCCTGGGCCACACTGTCCCCTCGGAGACCCTAAGCAGCACCTGCTTTCCCCCTCCCACCCACGCGGGGCTCAGAGGGCACAAGGGGCCCCACCCGCATCCCAGCCCCGAAAGCCCGCAGCCCCACGGCCCCATGCCCACCCTTCAGCCACACTCACCATGCTGGCCAGGGCCAGGAGGGTGGACTGCACTTGGGTGTGGTTGGTGTTCTCGAACAGGTCGTTGGCCTCAAAGATGTCGTGGGGCCTCACCCCATACTTGGTGATGGCCTTGATGAAGTTGCCGATGTTCTCCAGCTGGAGGGGAGCCGGTGGCAGTCAGGGGTGGGAGGGGAGTGGGGGTCTGGGTGGAGCTCTGAGGGGCTATGGGCCAGGGGTCGAAAGAGTTAAGAGAGTCTGGGCTCACCTGGTGCCAATTCTGGGTGGACTCATTGACCTTCTTCACAGAGCCTGGCTGGAGCTTATTGATGAACCTGCAAGGCGCAGGGGAGGGGACTGAGGAAGGGGACCCCTACTGCCCCCACCCAAGCCCAGCCCAGCGGGACAAGGGGTCAGGATGACGGTCAGTGGGAGCTTTCCTTTTTTCTGTTTCCCACTGCAGTCAGCCCCCAGCTGCAGCCCCACCACAGACCATCCGCACACACAGGCAGGACCCAGATGGGAAACCAACCCCGGGGAGCTAGACTCGTTCAGGTCAGAAAGTCTCCCGATGGAGGGTGTAGGGGAGTCTCCTGGGTGCACCTGCCTCGCTCGTGACCATGTTTCAATCTCCTTTTGCAAACCGCTACACATCGGAGAGCCCGCAGCTCAGAACTGGGGCCTCTTCTCTGGCTACACTCACCCCCTTGATCTCATCCAGTCTCTTGGCATTTTTTTTTTTTTTTTTTGGCCACGCTGCGCGACATGTGGGATCTTAGTTCCCCGTCCAGGGATCGAACCCGTGCCCCCTGCAGTGGAAGCGCAGAGTCTGAACCACTGGACAGCCAGGGAAGTCCTCTCTTGACTTTAAATGCCATTCATATGCCAACAACTCCCCAACATCTTCCTGCAGCCCACCTCTTACTCTCCATTCCAGCACCCCACATGGGTGTCTCAAATCAAATTCACCCTACCTGGACTCCTGACACCCACTTTCCCCCACAGAACTCCCTCCATCCTCCCCGGCTCAGTAAACCCAGCCCTCCAGGTCTCAGACAAAGCCCTCCGCCGCCCTTGACTCTCCTCTCCCTCTCTCTCACCCCCACATTCCATCCCTCAGCAATTCCTTTTACTCTGCCTCCTGAAGACTTCCAGAAGCCCACCTCCGCCCTCTTCTGAGCCACCAGTGTCTCTTTCCTGGGCTCTTGCCTTGACCTCCCCTTGGGCTCCCAGCTTCCACCTCATCCCCTCCAGATGCTTGTCATCCCATGGCTAAAATGGCCTTCTTAAAACAATTCCGTATGGTTTATCATAGGATATTAAATATAGTTCTCTGTGCTATACAATAGGACCTTGTATAACTTTGCTGTACAGCAGAAATTAACACAACTGTAAATCACGTATACTTCAATTAAAAAAAAAAATTTCCAGTTACTCCCCAGTTCAGAGCACTCCCATGGTTTCCTATTGCCTTGAGAATAAAAGCCTAACTCCATAGTATGAAGGATGAAGAGGCCCTGTACCATCTGGCCCCCAGCTAACTCCCTCCACTTTCCCTGATCACTGAGGCATGCTCCCACCCCAGGGCCTTTGCACTGGCTGTCCCCGCTGCCTGGCCCACTCTTCCCTAAGATGTCCTGCCGACAACTTCCCTCACTTCATCCAAGATTCTGCTTCAATATTACCTCTTCAGAAAGACCTCCCAGACCATTCTGTACAAAGCAGCAACCCTTCACCCCATGCCCCCCGCCCCCCATCCTTCCCAGCTTGACTCTTCCTCATGGCACTTCCCACCACAGGCAAGTATGTGATTATTTCAACAATTATTTGTTCAATCACCCCCACCGGGACTAAAGCTCCGTAAGCGCCCCAAGTCAAGTCTGTTTTGTTCACTATCCCCAGCGCCTAGACCTGGCTGGCACACAGCAGGTGCTCCATAAATGCACCTCGTCCATAAACGGGTGGGTGGCCCTGCACTCTTTAAGGCCTGGGACACCAGACCATCCCCCGATTCCTTGGATATGGTAGAACAGCATCCCCCAGCCCCTCTCTTTCCAGCAGCTAGGGCTTGGTAACCCTGTGCCTTCAGGAAGCTTCCCTAGCACAAGCTCTGGCTCTTAGGGTCACCCTGCCCTGGGTCAGACTCAGAGAAAAAGACAGGACCCCAGCTGGGCTCAGGGCCCCGCCCAGAAATAGGGTTGCAGTGAAATCTAGGAGGTGGAATCTGGAATCGGGGCTTGGGAGCTGTTGAGGGTTTTCCTCTCCCTCAGTGATTAGGTTCTGAGAGGGGGAGAAAATCAGGGCCCACTTAAATTACTGTGGCACATCGCTCAGTTCACCAAGCCAGCAGTGGACAGCTGATGTGGCCCAGTGCCTTTTCACTGTGACCTCCCTTTCTTGGGACTCTAGAGACCATATGTGTGGCTGCCCCGTATGCATGGCGGCTCAGACTCTAGATTCAGAAGTCATTTCTGTTGGAACAGCGTGGGACTTTGGGCGACGTGTTTTACCTGAGGCTCAGTTTTCTTTACTGTTAAATGGGCACAGTGGTTATCTTTATATCTGATACCTCAAAACAAAGGTATCAGATATAACGTGCCCAATCCAGCTCTGAGCTCTTGGTCATTTGAGGGGCTCAGGTAGTAGAGGTGAGGGGTTGGGGGCAGCCCAAGGCAGAGTCTGAGCCATGAGTGCCGCACTCACTCGCAAAGAATGATGCCGTCTTTGAGGCCGTCCATGAAGTTGTTGCCAATGCGGCGCCCTGTCACCCCCTCGATCCACTCTCGCAGCTCCTGTTCCCGCTGGTGGTCGTACTTCTGGGCCAGCTGGTGGTGGGGGACACAGAGAAGGTGGTGAGGACGCAGTGGGGAGCAGGGTTGGCTCCCAGGCCCAATCTAAGCTTCCCTAGCTCTGCTCTCTTCCCTCGTCGCTTCCCAACTAAGGCAATTCTGTCCCAACGTCCAGTTGAGGGGGGTGGGGGGGATGTGCTGAGGGCCAGTGTTGAGGTGGCACCTGCCCAGGGGCCATTCCAGGCATTCTGAGGTTTGGCACCACCGAATGTGGATTAAGGGGTGGAGAACAAGATACTCAGACTGGGGGGCGGCGCCTGGCCTCTTGGTTCCCCCTCCAGACCAAACTTGGGGTTTAGCTTCCCCTGGCCCTGCCCCCCTCCTGGGAGCTTCAGGCAGGGGAGGAGGAGCCCTAAGGAGGTGCCCCTGGATGCCGCCTTGCAGGGGACAGCTCTGTCTTATATCTCTGTCTCAGTGTCTCTCTAGGTCCTCATCCCTGGGGCCCCCTCTCTGGCTCGGGGCGAGGGCCTGTCTTTGCCTTACTCCTGGCCCTGTGCATGTCTGTATTTCTCTGTCTCTCTCCCCATGGCACGATGTCCTCAGTCTCTCTCCCAGCTCTGTCTGTCTTTCCTAGGCCCTGTCATCCTGTCCCCATCTCTTCGTGTCCGGCTGGGGGTGGGCCTCATAGCTCGTCCATCTCTGCTTTCATAGGTCTCTCTCCATCTCTCCGACTCCAGGTTCCCTGCCTCGGGCAAGGATGGGGCTCAGCGGTCTCTCCACCTCTCCATCCCTGTCTCAGTCTTATCTTGCTCCAGGCTCGCCCTCCCCCATCCGTCCCTCTCAAGTCTCAGGCTTCCAGTATCTCTGCGTCCCTCCTCCACCTCTCCTCTCCCACTTTGCCCCCGCTCCGTTTCCCCAGAACTCGCTACCCCAGCCCAGACAGGCTCCGGGCCCCTGGGAGACCCGGTCGCCCCTTCTTCTGGGGGAGGGGAAAGAGGAGGGGAAGGCCCCCTCACCTGGCCCCGGCCTTGCCGCCCCCCTCCCCATCAGCCCGGCTTTATAAAGCAAACCGGCCCTTATATAGCGCGGCCCCACGGGCCGGGCTCCCGAGGCCGCCTTATATGGCGCGGCGGCTCCGCTCGGCTCCTGGGCCGGCGGTGGGGGGAGGGGGGGCGACGCTGGGATCTGTCTCCTGCCCGAGCACCCGCCCCCTACCCGGCCCCTCCTCCAGCCCCGAGGATCCCCCCGACCCAGGTTCCCAATCCCAGCTCCCCATTTCCTGCCTGTGGAACCCTGGGAAAAGCCACCCTGAGCCTCAGTGTTGCCCTCTGTCAAATGGGGCTGGGACTCCTCCCTGGACAGTGCTCAAGGGATTGTTCCAGTGGGTTGGGGACTTCAAGCTTGCTGCCCTGGAGAAGCTGATCCCATGGGGGACACGGGCCGCAAGTTCAGGGGCCCAGTTCTGAATCTCTCTTATATAGGACCTGAGCTACTTGCCTCTTCTTTCTGAACCTCAGTTTACCCATCCACAGCATGAAGGCGATGTCCCCATGTCCTCCCACCCCCAGAATTAGGAGACCCCTGCTTTGTCCCTAATGCCCACTCTCTGCCTATCCCCAGCTGTCTCCGTTTCCTTCACAATCTCCAACACCTTGGGGCCTCACCCCCCAGGAACCCCAGCTCTGGAGCACTCCGCAAATTCTTTGTCGGGCTATGGGGTGTGGGCAAAATCAAGTCCTTCCCCAGACCCCCAGAAACAAAAAGGGTTAACAGGGGACTCTAATCAGGTGGGGTTTCACAATGGGCCAACCGCCTCAGTTTACCTGTGACTGCCTGCATGCCCCCCCATTTCACACCCCAACAGGAGCTGAGGGCTCTGGGATGCTCAGGCCAGGGAGGAAGGTAGCCCCTTCCCCATATACTCGTCGTTTTTCTCTCTCAGGTTCCAAGTCATATGGGATAGGCAGGAAGGGGGTCCAGGGAACCCCAAGTGTGGGGCCTCTGGCCTGGCAGGGCAAGTGGGCCGGGTCGTGGGGAGGCCCTCCAGCCCTACCTTGTTCTTGACCTCAGCTGACAGCCCGTAGGCGGGGCCTCGGTTGAAGTGAGCAGAGGACATGCCGGCTGATGGTGGACAGCGGTGGCGGCAGCGCTGAAGAAGGCAGCAGCAGCTGAAGCTCCGTCTGCACCCTCTTCCCTCCTCACATGTTTTTGAAGCTCGGGAGGCGGCCCGGGCCTCTTCCAAGGCCGTCCCATTGGCCATAGAGGCCTGCCAAGGGGCGGGGCGCCCCCCACCTTGGCCAGCCCCCCTTCGTGATGTCAGGGCCTTGGTATTGGGAGCTGATTGTGTCATTGTTTCCACCTAGGGGGGCGGCCTGGGTTATTCATTTTTGGGGCGGCGGGCAACTTGGCCAGACAGAGACCACCAACCTTTCCCCACTCCCCACTGTTCATTAGCCCTCTGGCTGGGTCTCCTAGTCTCTTTGTGTCTGTCTCTGAGGCCATCTCCCCACATCTCTGAGGTCTTTCTTCATTTCTCTCCTGTCTTGAGGCAGGACTACCACCTGTGGTAGTTTATGGAGCACCACCCTGGTTTTAAGTCCAGACACCAATAGTCTATAAATGTAGGCCAGCCCCTTCCCCTCTCTGAGCCTCTGTTGCCACACCTGTAAAATAGACTAATGATAGTGCCTGCTCATGGGGGTGTTGTGAGGATCAGAAGAAATAATGCCTGGGACCTCCCTGGTGGTCCAATGGTTAAGACGCTGTGCTTCCACTGCAGGAGGCACGGGTTTGGTCCCTGGTCAGGGAACTAAGATTCCACAAGCCGGGTGGCACAGCCAAAAAATAATGCCTCCAATATGCCCAGGGCAGTGCCTGGCACAGGGAAGGACAGGGAATAGCAGTATTTCTGCTGAGAATCTGGCACCCCACTTCTGTCCCCTCCATCCCCTCATAAGGACCTGGGGGAGCAGAGATCCTGGATCTCACCCTCCCCATCCACCTGTGGGTTGCCTGAACCACGGAGTGGCTGTGTTAGTGGGTTCCAGGCCATGGACACCCCCATATATTCCTGTCCCAGCCAGGCTGGCCTGGAGGGAACACCTGCAAGCAGCCCTGCCTGTCCAGATCTCACCCCTGTACCATAGGGGTGGATGACATGCCCACGTCATGCCAGGTATGTTTAGGCCATGTTAGTGACACTTGGATAACATGTCAGCAACCATATCATACACTAATGATACATCAAGGACATGCAATTTGCTGGCCACATGCTAAGGGCACAGCTGTGATGTACTAATAATGACAACAGCCCTTATGTTAGGCCCCGGTCCAAATGCTGTACATGTATCCACTCATACATACCTCACAACACCCTCAGAAGTGGGTGCTGCTATTATATGCACTTTACAGATGCGGAAACTGAGGCACCGGGGTGTGGAATCCCTTTCCCAGTGTCACACAGCTCACTAGTGACAGAGCAGAATTTGAACCCGGGCCTCTGCCCCTAATGCTATGAGGCTAAGGCAGGGTTTCTCAATCTTGCTACTGTTGACACCCCGGCTGGATAATTCATCGTGGGGGCGGGGGTCTGTCTTGGGCATTGCAGAACTTTAAGCAGCATCCCCAACCTCTACCTACTCAGTGCCAGAAGCAACACCCCCCCTCACTTTAGTCTTTTTTGTTTTGTTTTGGCTGCACTGCATGGCATGCGGGATCTTAGTTCCCCCTATCGAACCCGAGCCCCATGGGGGGTCTTAACCACTGGACCGCCAGGGAAGTCGTTCCTCCCTTCCCCCCACCCCACCTTAGCCTTGACAAACAGGAATGTCTCCAGAGGTTGCCAAATGTCCCTGGGAAAGCTATGGGGGTGAGGGGTTGGCAGCAGATCGCTCCCATTTGAGAACGACTGGGCTAAGGCAACCACCGACAAGTTGATAGCGTGTAATGGTATATTGAAGATACGCTAAAATACATAAAATGAGCAAACAATTAGCTCCTACTACGTACTGAGTGCTTTGGATCTGTCAACTCATTCCTCACAGCAGCCTTATGATGTGGGGTCTAAATGTTGTACAGAGAGGTGAAGCCGACTGCCCGGAGTCACACAGCTCCAGGGTGGCGGAGCCAGGATTCAAACGCATAGGTTGCTGGATCCTGCCCACACTGAGCGGCCCGCAGCGGGCCACAGGTCGCTACTGCGCAGGAGAGGACCCGCGCCTCCGCTAGCCCTCGGCCGGCGCCCCCTGGCGGCCCAGGAGGGCGGGGGCGGGGCCTGGCGGCATCCAGGCAGCGATGACGCAACGCGCTGACTCATTCGGCCCCGCCCCCCGGCCCGCTGTCGCTTGGCCATTTATAGAATCCGCGCCGGCTCTGAAGTCACTGCCCAGGCACGACGGGGGCGGGGTGGGGGAGCACTTGGCTTGCCCCCAGACGGGGCAACCCGGGGTCTCCCTAGGGGGCAGCCCTTTTCGGGTCCGTTTGTCCATCCAATTCTGGGTCGGTGTCTCTGTATCTCTTGCAATGTCTTTTGGTCGTTCTGTGCCCGTCTCTCAGCGTCGCCTAGCCTTTTTATGTCTCAGCCTTTGTCTCTCTCTGCGTCTCTATGAATCTGCCCATCTCACTGTCTCTGTCTTTCTCTCTGTCCCCGTGTCTCCTCTCTCTTTATCTCGCCGTCTCTGCGTCTCAGTTTCTGTTCCGCGCCTCTTGGTCACCGTTTTTCACTGTGTCTCTGTATCGTCTCTGTTTCTGTCTGATGGATGGGGGTAGAGGCGGAGAGAGGGGACTGATCCCATCCCGAGGCCCCAGCCCCAGGGGACTCCCCCATCACTGGCTGCCCGGTGTGCAGACCCCCCACTCAGCTTCTATTTGGCGCTTCCCAGGCCGCAGCCCCTCTGTGCCTCAGTTTGCCATCTAAATGAGAAGGATGGGCTTTAGTAAGGAATAGAGTTTCTTTTCTCGAAGAGTCCAGGACAGTCATGAAAGAAAAGCTCTGCCTTTCCTCAGTCTTATGAGATCCCCCAGAAACTTTCTGACTCTCAGAACTAACACACACACAAACCTCTGTGCCTGTGCCCGGGAGAGTCTCACCCCCTTCACTTGCCTATCTTGGCAGACCGTGTCTGCCAGCACCCCCAAACCCACCCCCTACCTAGCTCTCCTTTCCCCAGATGGCTTCTGTTTCTGGAGGGCTCACTCCATGCCAGGCACTGTGCCAGGCACAATCTCACTTAATCCTCACCACCACCCTCTTGAGAGGGGAAGTCTTAGACCCCTTTTTATTTGGGGGGGGCGGGACGGTGGGGGCATGTGGGATCTTAGTTGCCTCCCCAGGGATCAACCGGAGCCCCTTGCTTTGGAAGCACAGAGTCTTAACCACTGGACTGCCAGGGAAGTCCCTTAGACCCTTTTATAGATAAAGAAAAGGTTCAGAGAAACCAAGTCACTCTCCCAGGGTCACGCTGCTTCTGCTGCTCCCACATCCTTCCACATGTATTTCTTGAGTGCCCAAGCACGCTCTCATCTTTGTAGTCCCTTCCGCCTCGACACATTTCCACAAGATGCCTGTGAGCCCTCTCCCTCATTTCCTCTGCTCAGATGTCCCCTCTTCAGAGAGGCCCTCCCTGACCACCTGCTCTAAAATAATGTATCCCACACCCCCAGACTGTGAGAGGATGGGCAGGAGGGAGCTATTCAATTAAGTGTTTGCACCTGACAGTGGATACCTACGTCTGCCTCCATAAAAACTTCTATTTGAATAAGTGATTTTAAAAAGCCCCCTCGGGGCTTCCCTGGTGGTGCAGTGGTTGAGAGTCCGCCTGCCGATGCAGGGGACACGAGTTCGTGCCCCGGTCCGGGAAGATCCCACATGCCGCGGAGCAACTAAGCCTGCGCACCACAACAACTGAGCCTGTGCTCTAGAGCCTGCGAGCCACAACTACTGAGCCCACGTGCCACAACTACTGAAGCCTGCGTGCTCTAGAGCCCGTGCTCTGCAACAAGAGAAGCGACTGCAATGAGAAGCCCGGGCACCACAACGAAGAGTAGCCCCTGCTCGCTGCAACCAGAGAAAGCCCACATGCAGCAAGGAAGACCCAACGCAGCCAAAAATAAATAATTAAAATTTTAAAAATAATAATAAAATTTAAAAAATAAAAAGCCCCCTCCACAGGACTTCCCTGGTGGTCCAGTGGTTAAAAGTGCGCGCTTCCACTGCAGGGGGCGTGGGTTTGATCCCTGGTCGGGGAACTAAGCTCCTGCATGCCGCATGATGTGGCCAAAAAAAAATGAAAAAAATAAAAATAAAAGAGTGGCCCGGATTGGCAAAAATCAGAACACCTCATAACAACAAATGCTGGGGAGGCTTAGGGAACATCTTTGATGGGCATGGGCAGTTTGCTGATAGCTTTCAAAATGATAAGTGTCCTTACTTTTTCTGGTGGTTACTTTTACGTGTCAAGTCAACTGGGCCAGGGGGTGCCCAGATACTTGGTCATACATTATTCTGGGTATGTCTTCAAGGGTGTTTTTGGATGAGATTAATATTTGAATTTGCAGTCTGAGTAAAACAGATTGCCCTCCCCAATATGGATGGGCTTCATCAGATCAGTTGGAGGCTTGAATAGAACAAAAAGGCTGATTCCCCCGTCCACTAAGAAGGAACTCCTCCTGCCTGACTGCCTTGAGCTGGGACATGGGTCTTTTCCTGCCTTCAGACTGGAACTGAAACACCAGCTTTTCTTTGGTCTCAAGCCTGCCAGCTCTTGGACTGGAACTTATACCATTGATGCACCCGGTTCTCACACCTTTGTTCTTGGACTGGAACTACATCATCTACCCTCCTGGGTCCCCAGCTTGCCAACTGCAGATCTTGGACTTGGACTTCTCAGCTTCCATAATCACATAAGTCAATTCCTTATAATAAATCGTCTCTCTCATATATATCAATATATATATGTATGTGTACATACATTTTTTTTTGTTTTTCTGGAGAACCCTACCTATGTAATACACCTTCTGAACCAGCAAATCTCTTTTTTAGAATATTCCTAAGTACAAGTGTAGGTATGAAGAATCACATTTATTGCAGTGGCCTTTTAATAACAAGTCACCCTGTAGATCTATCAACAGGGAACATGTGAGATAGACAAAGATGACAGCAGAATATACAGCACTTTGTTTCAATTAAATAAAGGCACTGTGGTGCTGTGGTTAAGACTGTGGGGCGGGGCTCTGGAT